ACTCCCAGATTAAAGCTATAAAAACAGTATCATCAGACTAAAAAGAAATTATGCAATCTAGCAAGTTGTTGTTTTGTGCCTTCAAGTCATTACTGACTTATGGTGACCCTAAAGCAACCCTATCCTGGGGTTTTCTTGGCAAATTTATTCAGAGGGGGATTTGCCATTACTTCTGGCTGACCTAGGGCAGGTCACATTCTCTCAGCCTCAGAGGATGGCAACGACAAACTCCCTCTGAAAAAGCTTGCCAAGAAAACCCCATTTTAGAGTCATTATAGAGACCAGGGTTCAACTCTAGAGACCAGAGATCGATTCCCCGTTTGGCCGTGAAACCCACTGGGTAACCTTGGTCAAGTCACACACTCTCAGCCTCGGGGGAAGGCAATGGCAAACCTCTTCTGAAAAAGCTTGCCACGAAAACCTCATGATAGGGTCACCATAAATCAGAAATAACTTGAAGGCACACCACCGTCACCCCAAGAATAAAATATCATCATGTCCCTATTCTGAATGATAATAAAAACCGGATCAAAACCACAAAGAATAACTATGATGAGTCCATAATCCTGTGGTTGCTTACAATATTGCCTCCCTTACTTGGAGGAGAGGGCAGCAAATAAAGGCCAGAGTTCAATAGGATATATATATATATGGTAGTGTGCTTTTTTAAATTGTAAGCTGCCAATTTTGGGGGAACAGCAGGAAGGAAGATAGATAGATAGATAGATAGATAGATAGATAGATAGATAGATAGATAGATAGATAGATAGATAGATAGATGATTGATAGATAATTGATAGATGATAGATGATAGATAGATGATAGATAGATAGATAGATAGATAGATAGATAGATAGATAGATAGATAGATAATGATGATGATGGGTCTGCTTTGCCTTCCTCCCAGTATGCCTCCTGCTATGGGAACAAGCAAGCAGTGCAACTCCTGGGCAGGAACAGCTATTTCTCCCTCTTTGCCAACCCTCCCTGCCTGATCAGCCAGCGCCAGCGGTTGTCATGCCAGGCCCCAGAGATGACCCTTCGGCAGATCACCCAATTGATCCGGGTCCTGAGGCAGCTGAACCTCCGAGACGCCAAGGGGAAGCAGATCCCTGGCTCACAACGGTGAGTGACGTCCAATTAACATGCCTTTAACGGCCCAAACAAAATGCACCAAGCGCATCATGCAAGCTTTCGAAGCTCCACCGGCTTCTTCATCCGGCAAAGGTGTTACAAGATTATTCCTTGTCATTGTTGCATGCCTTCGAGTCGTTCCCGACTTACGGCAACCCTAAAGCAGTGAACCTATCATGGAGTTTTCTTTGCAAGGGTTGTTCAGAGGGGGAGGGTTGCCATTGCCATCCTTTTAGGCTGAGAGAGTGTGACTTGCCCAAAGTCACCCAGTGCAGGGTGACCAGATGTCCTCTTTTTTCCCAGGACATGTCCTACAGTTCAATCTACTCGCCAGGAGGGATTTCAAAATGTCCTCAATTCTGAGCGTGACTAAGAAGCATGAATTTACATTTATATCATTGCTTTTAGCTTTTATTTGGTCAAGCCCCACATTTTTCTTCAATGTCCTACATTTTGCAGTGCCTCGTCCTCCTTTGCCGTTATGACACCTAGTCATCCTGCCCAGCGGGTTTACGTGTCCTAAATCTAATGTCGAAACCTTTGTGGCAATTCAGATGCTATCAAACTGCTGCAACTTTGCAATTCGGGTACACCACTCAGGCTGCATCTGCAATGCAGAATTAACACACTTTTGACACCTCTTTAAATGCCATGGCTTCATCCTGTGGAATTCTGGGATTTGTAGTTTGCAGTGGCACCAGAGCTGGCTAAATAGCTCTCAAAACTACAAATCCCAGGATTCCATAGCATGGAGCCGGGGCAGTTAAAGCGGTGTCAAAACTGCATTATTTTCACAGTGCGGATGCAGCCCTAGGGTGTCAGTTTATACCACCGAGCTTAACCTTGCAAGCTTCACTTGGCTCTTTTGCTCTTCCTTTGCCTTCCAGGAGCCGTTCCAGCAGTTCCTCCACAGAATCCCAGCAGTCACGAACTTCGGACCAGCACTGCCTGTCCTGCTTCCACCCGAGACGTAATTCTGGCCCACCGTGTGTTGGATGATGACCCATATCACCAAGAAATTGACCTGCAAGATCCCAAGATCATCTCAGCTCCCATTTCCCAGCTTTCTTTCACTTCTCTCCCCCACCCAAAAATAATATTAGGGAGGTGGCTCACCTAAGCAGAAGACCACCATTTTCTTCCAGCGTCCAAAACCCAAGCTCCACTGGACCAGGAAAGACCTAGATCTACTGTCACAGATTTATTATAGCATCATTTTGTTTTGGGTTTTGTGAGTTATTGTGCATTATCAGATGCATGAAGGGTTCCCAGTAAATCTATGCGCCTGAATACTTTCATGCTGAGAAGAGATGTAAAATGATTTCTCTCTGGTAATAGACTTGCTATCTGAGGATAACACTTCATGCATCTGAGGAAACTGGTGTGGTGAAATCAAAGCGTCTGTCACAATAAATCTGTAAAGGTTGTAAAAGCTTGACAATGCTGCGATATGTTGTTTTTTTTGGGCTGTGAGACAGGTTGCTTTTTCTGAAAGATGGCCACCTTTTCCGAAAGGTTTCCATAGATAAATGATTGAACAATATCAGTCCAATTTCAGGAAGGGTAGACCAGGATTCGAATCCTTGCTCAGGCATGGAAACCCACTGGGTGATCTTGGGCAAGTCACACACTCTCAGCTT